ATGCTGGGAGGAAAAGAAACATCTCCAGCTTCTCCTGGGGCCAAGCCCTACCTCCAAGACTCTGTTTCTCCCTTGTCCTGCAGCCAATGTGACCCTGGACCCGGCCACAGCTCACCCCAACCTTCACCTCTCCGAGGACCGAAAACAAGTCAGGGGCCAGCTGACGCCGCAAGACCTCCCGGACAACCCGGAGAGATTTGACTTTGAACCCTGCGTGCTGGGCTGCGAGGGCTTCACCTCAGGGAGACATTTCTGGGAGGTGGAGGTGGGGCAGGGAGGTGTCTGGGCCCTGGGGGTGGCCCGAGCAGCGGTCAAGAGGAAGGGACCCATGAGCCTCACCCCCAAGGAGGGGGTGTGGGCGCTGGAAGCTTATCACTCCCTCACCTCCCCCCGCGCCAACCTGCGCCTGAACCCCCTTCCCAGGAGGATACGGGTCTCCTTGGACTATGAAGGGGGGCGGGTGGCATTTTTCAGTGCAGATGATGACAGTTCCATCTTGGTTTACACCAGAGCCTCCTTCAACGGGGAGAGGGTCTTCCCCTGGTTCAAGATGGGGATGGGGGCTCGTTTGCAAGAAATCACCCAAACCCCACCCTCAGAGAACCAGTCCGTGACTGGGCAGCTGATGTCCCCTCTGGACTGGGTGGGATTCAGGTCTCTCCTCCGAATTTATCCTTGAGATATGTGTCAATGAGACCTTAACGAACCTGTCCTTGAGGTATCTGTCAATGACCTTAATGAATCTGTCCTTGAGGTGTCTATCAATCAGACCTTAATGAATCTGTCCTTGAGGTGTCTGTCAATGAGACCTTAATGGAAGGGCCATCTCCTGCTTGATGCCAGCTGTTTGCTGTAGTTGCTCAGAGCATCGTGCCGAGAGAACTTGCTGCTGCTCCTCTCCTGTGTCTGTCTCCATCGGGAGCTTCGGAAAGGCACCTGTAGGGCAAGGATGGGGAGACAGGACACCAGCAGGCAGCGGTGAGGAGAAAGGATCGGCCAGTATGAGGTGACAGGGTCAGCACATCAGAAGGAAGGGAACATTGAGGGGTTGACCAAGGACGGAGAGCACTCAGGGCTTCCAAATGTGTGGTCTTTTTTGATTTATTTTGCCTTTAATGGACTGAATCCTTCTGTTTATACCTCGTTCCAAAGTGTTTTCTCTCTGACATCAATCACAAGGTGGATCCGGAGTCTGTTCCGCAAAGGGCGGTGGCCTTTTAGTACCCGCTGGCTTGGTTTGGGGAGCTGGTCTCTATCTCTGCCAAATTTCTGATATTTATTTGAAATAAAATAGCATTTTGGTTTGCGCTTTCCACTTTCTGCCTCACCATGGATGCATTACCTCGCGTTTCTTAGCATTTGGCTCAGCAAGATCAAGAAAAGCGCCGTGGGATGGGGACACCTCGCTTACCTTCCCACCTTCTCGGGGTGGACCTCCAGGCATTCACGCCCCCTTGGCAGGCAGTGAAGGGAAACCAGCCCACCTGGAATGTAGTTTTCCACATCAGCTTCCTGGATAACTCCCAGGGAAAGCCTGTTCCTCCCCGTTGGCTCTTCAGGAGGGAGAAGACGGGATCAGTCGTGCCGGCGGCTCCTGCGGCTGCGCGGGTCAGATGTTCCTCGACTATAAAAGCAGGTGGAGCGGCCAGGCGAAATGCAAATTCTGGCATTTTCACTTAATTCACCTGCACCGATTCCCTCAAAACCTGCTGGTTTTCTTCCGAGGAAACCTGAAAAGAGGAAGAGGTGTCACGGAAATAACCCCCCCGTTGTTGATTATAGAACCGAGAAGAGGAACCAGAAGCGAGAGTGGGAGGGAGCGGGTGACGTCGGGCTCAGAATAACAGCCAAGATATGAATGGGCACCCCCGTGATGAAGCCCGACCTCCCCATCCCCACGGCTCCCACCGAGGGCAAACTGAGAGCCGATATTTTGGCGCTGGTCTTTGTCTATGCTGTCACATATCCCCCTCCCCCTCCATCCATGCTCCTCAGCCCAGTGCATCGCCGTCACTTGGTCCCATCACCCCAGCAGGGGATCCATCTGCTTTCTGCAGATGCTTTGCCACACCTCTGACAGGGAGGCCTATGAGCCAACGTGTGTCACCATGCGTGTTGGGTCCACATCCCGTCATGGATTCAAGCCCAGTTGGGAGAGGCAGAGGAATACAGATGGAGAGGCTGCCAGTGCAGGAAGGACCTGGGTGAATCAGGGGAAAAGCTCTTGAGCTGTTCTTCAAGGATGCATTTGGGGGTTGCTGGAGGTCCCTGAACCACTTGCAGTCCCATCATGCTCCTCTCAGAGGCACCTGCTGAGAAATGTAAGACACAAACCACCAAATCCTGGTAAAACTTAGTGTTTTCCTCGGAGGCGGAGATGTTTTCCTGACTCCTTCAGGGCCACAGGTTCCCTCCGATGTCTCTGATCCCCATCCAGCTCTCTCCCAGGTGTCCCTTCAATTCCAGAGATCTGCCATGCAGATGGCTCCACCCCAGCCGGTTTCCCAGGCTCTGTCACAGTTTTTAGGGTGCAACTCGTTTGCTCAACCGTAGGCAACCTCATTTGGAGATGAAAGGAGCTGTGCCCTAGGCTCTGCCAATGGGCGCGGAGGAGCCGCTCTCCTCCAGAGAACAAAGCAGCCTAGCTCAGATGGAGGTGTCTCGTTCACTGGGTTGCACCCACCTCTTGCGTCTGGCAGGACAGGTTGCCTCCCACTCTGCTCACCCCCAGGCCATGCTTCCCTGGGAAGCGGTTGCAGGGTGTTTGCTTCCAGTCCTGCAGTTCCAGGAGCGAGCAACTCCCCCCCCACCCCCCTCTGGCCTCTGGCTCTTCCTGATGGGAATAGTTTGCTGGAAATGAGACTTGCTTCCCCAAACCTGGCCAAGTGATTGCAGCTGGGGGTTATCTGTGCTGGTAACCCTTCAGCTGGGTCACAGTGACCCTACCTCCAGGCCGCCCAGTTGCCGTGATGCGAAAAATATGGAGCCATGGAGCTTAGCAAAGGAGCAGTGGGTTGGGAATTGCTTAGAAACGTTTCACCGCGAGCTCAGAGCCAGGACAGAGCTTGCTGGAGGTCACGTAGTGATGGGCGGCTAGAGGTACATCCCTGGCAGGGCTCCCAAGCACCCCAACATGTGCCCCCTGATGCATGTTGAGTTGCAACCCCTCTTCCAGCACCACCAAGATTCCAGTTGCACATTTCCCCTCCCTGTTTTCTTATGTTTTTCTCATCCATGGTCCCACCAAGCCTCAAGAGCTCCTCACCTGGAGGTCTTTTCGCCTCCAGCCCTTTCCTGGGAGGGCTGATGGTTTCGCCTGATGCCCAGGCCTAAAAGGAGAAGGAGAAAAGCAGTGAGGTGACCACCCCCAACAGCTCCCCAAGGTGGAAGATGGGCAAAGGAGAAACACGATGCTCCCAGCGGATCAGTCCAAGGGCGTCACCACCTCCTGCCCGGGAGACACGGCGCGAAGAGCTGAGGCGCAAGCTCGACGCATCCGTGCCGCAGTTTTACTCAGGACGGGGAAGGAACAGGAAGGGAAAGATCCAGCCCCATCAAAGGGAGAAAGCCAACAGGTTTTGTTAGTTGACTGCGGATGAAATCCAGGCATTACGTTTTCGGAAGGGAGAGAGTGAGGAGGTCTCTGAGGAAGGACAGCTACCCTGGAGTGCAGAACACTGGAGGATCTGGTAGGTGTCAGGCGCCCGGACCGGGCAGTCCCTGGGCGGTAAAACACCAACTTTAGGGTCATTTCTCTTGACCGTTTTTGGTTGCTTTGCATCACTGCTGGGCTGGTAAGTGCGGGGATATCGCGGCGCTCAGGAGGCTGCACTGCCGCTCAGCGGGACCTGGGCAGGGTAGAGGGTTAGGTGGAGAGGAACCCAATGACGTTCAACAAGGGACAAGTGTCGGGTGCTGGCCCTGGGGAGGTTGGACCCCAGGCACCAGGACAGGCTGGGGGCTGACCTGCTGGGAAGCAGCTCTGCCCAGAGGGACCTGGGGGTCCTAGTGGACAACATGGTGGCCATGAGCCAGCAGGGTGCCCTGGTGGCCAAGAAGGCCAACGGCATCCTGGGGTGCATCAAGAGGACCATGGCCAGCAGGGGGAGGGAGGTTCTCCTCCCCCTCTGCTCTGCCCTGGGGAGCTCTAGGGGCCCCTTCCAACCCAAAACATTCTGTGATTCTATGAAATATCTCAAGGGTGGGGGTCACGAGGATGGAGCCAGGCTGTTCTCAGTGGTGCCCAGCGCCAGGACAAGGGGCCATGGGCACAAACTGGAGCAGAAGAGGTTCCAGTGGAACGTGAGGAAGAACTTGTTGACTGTGTGGGTTATGGAGCCCTGGCCCAGGCTGCCCAGGGGGGCTGTGGAGTCTCCTTCTCTGGAGATCTTCAACCCCCGCCTGGCCGCTGTCCTGTGCCCCCTGCTCTGGGTGAGCCTGCTTGAGCAGGGGAGTTGGGCTGGGTCATCTCTGGAGGTCCCTTCCAAACCCTGCCATGCTGGAATTCTGGGATTCTGCCCAAGTTCACGCAAGTGTGTTTGTGCCTTTTATCAGCATCTTTCCTCCCAAATCTGTGTCGCTTTTTTTGTGCCTCGAGTTTGATTTTTCCACACCCCCCCCCCAAGTTTCTCCAGGAATTCCAGAAAAGTCAGGAGGGATTTGTGTTCATGGGTGATCTCCTCCAAGAAATGCCTCTCCATGAATTCCTCATGGTATTTCCCATCCCGCCGCTCCTTCCTTTGCACCTTTAAAAGGGGAGGGCAGGAGCCAAGCCCTGGCAGACGGGCTTAGATTTCAGGTGCCTTGCAGGTCCCAGGAGGACCACGAGCTCTTCTTCCTTTTGCAGCTGGAAGAACTGAAAAATGAGATTGAGAAGAGGCAGGCAAAAACTGCCACCAAAGCCTCAGAGGAGATCTCCCAGCTGGACAACCCAACGCAAGGGCAAGAGGGGAAGCGTCAGAAATCTGTGAGTGAATTTACCTGGGTGAGAATTTTCAAGGGAAAATTGTAGGGAGGGTCCTCCCCGCCAGGTCACCTCCGGCTTAATGAGTTGGGTTTTCCGAGCTGGGTTTGCTCCTGTTCCAGCTGTAACTCTGAACCCCCCAAGGGGATCCCGTCTCTCCAAAGAGGGGGAGATGTGCAGCCTAGAAAAGTGGGGGAAAAAAAAGGGGGGCTCGAATCACTGTGGCGGGGAATGGTGAGGGCCGGTGGCTCCCCATGGGATGGGGCACTTGAGCCTGATAGCGTAGGGAGCAAGAGCATCACCAGCCTTCACCCCATGCTTGAGGTACCTGGGAGAGGGGAGCAGCCAGGGGCAACCCAGAGCAACAGGTGGGTCCATGGGCAGGAGGCAAGGCTGGGGGCAAGCCAGGAAGGCAACCCATGGGGTGGATCAGCGGGGTCCATGGCCATGCTCCTCCGAGGCATCTTGCAAAAGGCCTAAATCCCCAAGGACTGAGCTTAAATTGAGCCCCTGAGCCATGGGCAGGGGGTAGGTGGGGTCTGAGGGCGGGCTGGTCAGGGCCATGAATGTCTATCATCGGTGCTACTGGGGTGCCCTTTTAGTGGTCTAATGAGTTTATGGAGCAGGCGGAGGTTCCTCCTGGGTGTCTCAGAGGCGCCCAGTGAAAGGATGAGAGGCAACAGGTTGTGGCAAGAGAAATTTTGTCTAGATTTGGGAAAAAAAAATAATGTTTTCCTCATGAGTGTGGTGCCTCCCCGGCTCAGGGTCCCTCTAGATGTGGGCATCTCCATCCCTGCGTGTATTCAGACCTTGCCTGGACACAGCCGAGAGGGTCAGAGCGGAGACCCGAGAGGTCCATCCCCAGCTGAACAACTCAGCATTGCTGCAATTTGAGGGGAAAAGCTGAGCTTCATTTGCTTTCTCTTTTCATTCCCTAGGATGGGAAGAGCACCCTCAGCAGGTACGTGGCCTCCCTGACAGGCTCTTTCACCACCTTCTCAAAGAGCAATGGCCACAAGAGGAGAAAACTCATCGGGTGGCTGTCGAATGTGCCTCTGCATCACTGGAAGGGTATTTTGGGTTGTCTCGTCCCTCGATGTGCCAATCAAAGGAGCGTCAGCCTCAAAATGACCTCCACGTTGGCAAAGCTTGGCTTTGATTTCACTGCAAGGCCTTGGCCCTTTTCACTAGCCCGGTCCCCTCAAGCTGGACCTTTCTCATGGTCTACACAAAAAAAAAAAAAATTAAAAAAAAAAAGATTAATCCAACAGGGAAATTTGGCCTTTATATTCCTTGAGGGTTGGGTTGCTGAGGGGGTAAGGTTAAAAACCTCCAACATTCCAGCAACACCGTCACTTCATTTCTGGTGGCATCAGATGTCCTGAAATGACACCGATCGCTCCGAAAAGTGGGGGTTGTTGGGGGTTTTGTGTTCCCACAGGTGTGGGAAGGTGACTTTCCAGCTGCCAGCAGATGCTTCTCTGGCATCGGAGGAGAGAGTCTGTCATTCCTCCTGGAGGAGCAGCGCTCTGAAGGATACTCTGAAGAAGCTACGAGGTACTGAGAAGGGCTCAAGGAGGAGGAAAAAAAAATAGGGGAGCCATATTTTGGGGAGAGCTGGAAGAGCTGAGCTGTCCTTAGCTCATTCTGGATATACTTTGGGAACAGAAATACCGCTGAGAGAAACCTGGAGATGGAGGAGAGGAAGGAAATGGCCTCAAGTTGTGCCAGGGCAGGGTGAGGTTGGCCATGGGGAACAATTCCTTCCCCTTGGGGCTGTCAGGCACTGGAAGGGGCTGCCCAGGGAAGGGGTCGAGTCCCCAGCCCTGGGGGGATTTAACAGCCGGGCAGAGGCGGTGCTGAGGGCTGGCGTTTGGGGGTGGGATGGCAGGGGTAGGGGAAGGGTTGGGCTGGGAGAGCTTCAAGGGCTTCTCCAACCTCAACGCTTCCATGATTCTGTGCTTTTTCCCCTTGGATGCCAGCCTGGGTCCTGCTGGCCCCTTCCGCATCCCTGGGACTATCAGCCTTGCTTCTGACCCCCCTGTCCCCATCCTCCCCCCAGCCATTGTGACCCTGGACCCTGACACGGCTCACCCCGACCTCATCCTCTCCGAGGACCGTAAGAGCGTGAGACGCGGGGAAGGACGCCAGGACCTGCCTGACAACCCGGAGCGATTTGACTACTGGCCCTTCGTGCTGGGATGCCAGGGCTTTGCAGCCGGCCGGCAGAGCTGGGAGGTGGAGGTGGGGGGGACAAGTTCGGGCACTCACCACCCGCAAGGTGACCCTCCTCCCCCTCCGTTGGGTGCCCCGGCGGGTCAGCGTCCACCTGGACTACGCCGGAGGGACGGTGGCATTCTTTGATGCAGAGGAGGGGGGGCTCATGTTCATTTTTTCCCGTGCCTCCTTCACGGGGGAGAGGGTCCGCCCATGGCTCTGGGTGGTGGGGGCCAGGTCCCAGCTCAGGCTGTGCCCCTGAGACATGGGGACCAGCATCCCCCCCCCTCCCCCCCCAGCGTCAGGGGACAACCCCTTGTCCCCTGTGCTACCCCTGGGACTACAAGGAATGGAGTCAATGGGGACTTGGGCTTTTGAGTTGCCTTCTTCCCTATGAAACTAGGGGGGGTGGGCTTGATAAGGATGAGGCTGAGGAAAAAATGGGGGAAAAAAAGCACTGGAGAGGGGACCCTGGGGCACAGGAATGGGAAATAGCGGGGAAAGGGGGAAAATTCAGCGTGACAACAGTGGAAATGTTGGCCTGGTCACCTCCAAACCAAGGGGTCCAAACTTGATCTTCCCCCCCTCCCAACCTCCCTGTGGGTGCAATCGCCCTGAACCAGGCAGTTTCTCCCTTCCAAAGGATTCTGGGGTGGCCAGGTCAGAAATTCACAGCGCAAACGTCTGCAGCTGCTAGCGGGTAAGGTTTATCCCAGCCTTCAGTGCTGCAAGGTGGAGTCCTACCATGGTGGTGCCTTTGCTGGTGGAAAGCCCACATGTGGCAGAGTTCCCGAGCCTCAGCTGTTCTCTCTCTCCTCCAAAAATTGATATTTGAAACTTCCATGGTGTAGATCCTTCATAATAATAACAACAAAGATGTGATTTTCCTCCTCTGTGTCTTTCCCTGGGGTTGGGGCTGCCAGAAGACAGGAGAGCAGCGGGGCACAGGGCTTCCAGGGACGCCCCTAGGTCACCCACATGGGGCTTGGCGACCTTTCTGGGTGCAGGCACGGCCAACTCGCCCTGGCATGGTGCAAATCCCAGGAATGGGATTTAGTCAGCCAAAACTCCAGCTCCCCGCCTTGAACCCGACACTCAAGGAACCAGGCAGAGAAGAACCTTAGGAGCATGTGAACCTTTTTACTTCATCTAAAACCCATCAGACCGGAGAAAGAGCAGAGCTGGTGTGGGATGCGGTGGGGCAGACGCGGTGCTGTTTCTTCATGATGGCCCGGTTTGAGGGTGACCCGTTGGGACACCAACCCACAGAAAGGCTCAACCCTTTGGCATCACCAATGATGGAAAGAGAGACCAGCAAGGCCAGCTAGGACTTCAGTAGACAGAAGGCCTCCCAGGTCCTGGCCATAGGGATGTTGGGGACATAGAACTGGCATCTGGGTAAGAAGGGAGCGCTTCAGGGACACAGCGTGATCTGGGAGCCCTCGCTCCATACCAGGAACCAGGGATGAATACTCTCCCCTTTAAACGAAGCCGCTGGGAAAGCGAATATCAGAGCCCTCTTATCGGCATCAAAAAATGCCACCTGTCCCTTTTCATAGTCCAGGGAGATCCGGACCCTTCTGGGGACCTGGATCTGGTACAGCGGGACACGCTCAAGGGAAGTGAGAGCCCAAAACTGACCCTCGCAGAGACCCATAGACCAGAGCTCCATCTCCGGGCTCGTGGTGGTCTCCTCCCTTCTCCTCAGGGACTCCCTGGCCACCCCCACGGCCCAGGAGCCTTTGGGTGTCACCTCCACTTCCCAGCAGCATCTCCCCGAGGTGATGCCCTCACAGCCCAGCACGCAGGGATCGGTGCCAAACCCATCAGCAGATGGGTCCTGCTGGGCATCTTCCCACCTCACGCTCCTCCCGTCCGCTGACACGACGAGCTGGGGGTGAGCCGTGGATGGATCCAGGGTCACTGTCACTGCAAAGGGGCAGAGAGTAGAGCACCAAAGGAAACCAAACCACTTCCCATGGCCCTGGGTTCTGCCTCACTGCTGGGGCTGGGCGGGGAGGTCCTGCAGCACCGTCCATCCTTTTGTTTGGGATGCTTTGCCCTTGCTGCAGGGGCAGGCACTGGTTGCTTTCCCCATCCCACAGGGCCCAGGAAAACTTCAGAAGATTCCCAGGGGAGCAAGAGGACAAGCCCCGAGGCAGATGAGGAGACCCCCTAACCCCTTTTTGGGGCCAAAAATGACAAAGTAGGCATTTGTTCCCTGAACAGATTGGCACGAAGGGGCAGACTCAGTTTTTAGCAGCTCCGTGGGAAGAGATGGATCGATCCCCACATTACGGTGAGGACTCCCTGGCTCCTTACGGACTGTTGGCCGCCCCCATGCTATCCATTATTTTGTTCGGACATGACCCAGCAACTCGTGGGCCATCCCACGTTGGGCTCAGCCTCCCCTTGGGCCTTCCCACTCCCTCACTTCCAGGAGATGCGGACTTACTCTTTTCAGGCAGCTCAAACATCAGGATGTCTAAAGAGGGGAGGAGAGAGGACATCTGATGAGACACGTGGGTATCGGGGTGAAGGCGAGGACAGAGAGGTCGCTCTGCCACGCTGACATCATGTATAAAGCCGCAATAAAATAGAATTTATACTCCAATTAAATAAATACAACTTATGCCTGCCCAGGTATCGCACTGTCTCCCCAGCCCGCCCTCAATACCTTGGAAGCTCCTCAGAATCTCCTCAAGAGCAATATTCTTCTCCCTGAAGTGACTAATTTTCTTCTCCAGCTCTGGCAGCAGCAGCGGGGGCTGCTGGAAGTTCTCCTTCTCAAACCTAGAAGAAGGAGGGGCAGAACGAAGGGGTGAGGACGCATCTTCTCAGAGAGAGAGCCCAAGAAAACTTTTGCGTGCACCCATAGCTCAGAGGAGCTGGTGAAGGCTTCAACCACGGGCAAAGCCACCTTTGCCCAGGGCCTCTTGTCCACAAAGCCAAATGTTTGACTTCTGGGCGACGTTTTGTGAGGGCTTCTCCCTACCTGCCCTGTAAGACACAAGGTCCAACCTCCCTCCCCAGCCTGGGATGGAAGGAGAAGCTCAGGAAGCCCCGTACCTGCTCAAGGTGCCTTTGATGTCCTGGAAGGGAGAGAGGGAACTCAGTGAATAGGTCTTGGTAGCAAAACATCTATGGAAACCTCAACAGCGTGGACGCAGCTTGAGAGCTGAGCTCAGCCTGGGTTCCGCAGCATCGTGGGGCAATACTCAAAGCCAGAAAATAGCCTGGAGCCAGGTGGTGAAGGCCTGGCTCTGTTCCCTCCTCCCTCACCTGCAGAAACTTGCTTGCTGGTTGCTGGCACTTCTCCTCCATCTCCTGGATCAAGGTATCCAGATGCGAGATCTCCTTCGTCAGACTCGTGATGTTTTCTTCCTGGATTTTCTCAACGTCTCTCTCCAGGTCACCCAGCTGAGCCAGCAGGTGACGGGCATGGTCCTCCAGGAAGAGGCGAAACCCTTCAAACTTGGAGAAAATCCTCTGCCGCTCCGCTCCAGTCTTCTCCTGCCAGGAGGGGGACACAAGAAGGGAAGAGTAGGGTGGAGAAGGATGCGGTAGAGTCCCATGTGTGCCAGCGAGGGCACACCTGGAGAGTCTTGAGCATCCTATATCCTTCACGAATTTCTCAACAGTTGGACTTGATGATCTGAAGGGTCTTGTCCAACTTAAACCATTCCATGGTTTAGCAGTTGAGTTCCTAGTGGGGCTCCAGACTCTGCCAGTTATTTCCCTACCCCAACTCTGAGAAAAAACCCGGCAGTGTTTGGTTTGGTACCTGGGAAGGGACCCCAACCCTAAGGCAGCGCGGTATGATCACCCACATGGCATTGTACCTAAAGCCGAAGGGGGACAACCAGACCCGACCCTCCCCCCCGCATCCCTCCTCATAGAAACTTTTACCAAATACTCCCAGCTTCTCCTTATTTCAACCTCTCGAAGTCCCAGGAGTTTGTCTCGGTCTTCCTTCACGGCTTCCAGATGAGCCTGGATTTGTCCCTGGGGGAAGGAAAAATAAAGACCCCCACGTCTCTGGAGACTGAAATGGCCTAAAAAATATATATTTTCTGGAGCCCTCAGCACAAGAAGGACGTGGAACGGTTGGAGCGGGGCCAGAGGAGGGTGATCAAAATGATCCAAGGGCTGGAGCCCCTCTGCTATGAGGCCAGTCTGGGAGAGTTGGGGGTGTTCAGCCTGGAGAAGATTGTTCAGCCTGGAGAAGAGAAGGTTCAGGGCAGAGCTGAGTGCGGCCTTGCAGGGCTTCCCGGGGGCCCATAGGACAGACGGGGACAATCTTTTTAGCAGGGCCAGCTGTGACAGGACAAGGGGGGATGGTTTTAAACCAAACCAGGGCAGGTTTAGACTGGAGATGAGGAAGAACTTCTTGCCCCTGAGGGCGGTGAAACCCTGGCAGGGGTTTCCCAGAGCGGGGGTGGAGGCCCCATCCCTGGGAACATCCCAGGCCAGGTTGGCCGGGGCTGTGGGCAACCTGATGTGGTTGGAGATGTCTCTGCTCCTGCAGGGGGGTTGGGCTGGGTGACCTCTAGGGGTCCCTTCCAACCCAAACCATTCTGTGATTCTATGAACTCTAGGGGTCCCTTCCAACCCAAACCATTCTAGGATTCTACGATATATAGTCCGGGGAGGGGATTGTGTTGTGGTCAGCTCCAGAGCTCCTCCTTGTGCCTCTCTTGGTTCAGAAGCATCCTGAGCGTAAGACTTTATGCTTTAAATAAATGCCACACAGTGGAACAAGCGCTCTGTGCCAGCTCGTGGCTGCAGCAGATCCTTTCTCTGAGCCGATTTAACTCACTGATACAGCAGGAAAACAGCCCTGGTTTTATCGGACCACGGTCCCACTGGCTTAGAGAGCATCCTGGGATCAGCAGTTGCCAAGTAAACGCCGGAGCTGGACAAAGGCTTGGATTTTGCAGCAGGGGAGAGGGGATTAAGGCCTCACCCCTTCAGCCACGGAGCACCAGGTTCTCAGGGGAGAACTGAGACAGCAGAAGCACCGGAGCGTGGTCTACGCCGTCATTTTGAAAGGGGCCAGTTTGCTCTGGGGGAAGAGCAAACGCCCAGAGGAGGGGGGGACACAACATTTCTGCCCCCTGCCTAACATCCTTGGGTGGGGGTGAGATGTCTCACAGCCTGATGGTAACGCGCTGCGAGGGGAACATCAAGTGCTGGTGCTGGTCTGGCTCCTAGTGCACATCTAGATGGAAAAACAAATCCCCTTTACCTTGTATTCCTGGACAGCATCCAGCACGGGGAGCATGGTGTGAGACCGGTGCGCTCGGGACTCCCGGCAGATCATGCAGATGAAGGCTTCATCATCCTTGCAGAAGATCTTCAGAGGCTCCTGGTGCCTCTCGCATCCTTCCTCCTCAACCACCTCCCCTCTGGCCGCCTGCAAGCTCAACCGCTTGGCGATTTCCAGCACCCGCGCCAGCTCTCGGCTGGGCCGAAGGTTTCTCTCTGGTGCCGTCTCCCGGCACTGCGGGCAGGAGAAATCCACCGTGGACCACTCCCAGCAGCGGGTGATGCACGCCCGGCAGAAGTTGTGACCGCAGTGGATGGATACAGGGTCTCGGAAATACTCGAGGCAGATGGGGCAGGAGGCTTCGCTGGGGAGCTCTGCGGTGGGGTTCGGCGCAGCCATGGGGCCCCGGTGTGAGCTTGTGAGACGTCGGCCACTTTCATTTTCCTCTGAGCGAGGGAAAGGCGTTTCCCTTCCTGCCACCCCCCAGGGTGGGCAGAGCCAGAGCTGAGCCTGGTTGGGAAGGCAGAGAGTGGGCGATGGCCAAAGTCCTCCTGGTTGCACCCCCCAGGGTGGTCCCCCTCCCCAAAACGGCTGGAACCTGCAGTCCGTACCAGTTCCTGGTACCCAGAGCCTGGCAGGGAGGAAGGATGGGGAGCTCTGCCAAGCCTGAGGGTGAGCCCCACAGCCTGGAAGGGGTCTGGGCGTGGGGGCAAAGAGGATTTGGGGAGGGGGCTTGGCTTGGAAAAGATGGGGAAGAGCATCCATGGAAAAGGTGAGGCTTGGGAAGGAGGTTGCGTATCGGAGGGAGGGTGAGGGAGGAGGAACGAAGCCAGAAGTGGGGGGGTGAGGGGTACCCATGTGGAGGGGGAGAAGGGTCCTGGGATGGGGAAAGGGTCTGGGCATTCTCTCTGCAGCAAATCCAGGCTGCTGGCATGCGTGGG